CCTCAACCCCAAACCCTCAGGCCCTAGAGGTTCCTTAAGGGATCGCTGTAGGGACTTTACGCGGGGCACTGTAGGGCTTTATAGCCTCTAGGCCTTAGGGCTTTCAGGGCTTTTGGGGCAGAGGATCGGATTGTAGACTCAAGCCTCTGAGGCTTGGGGGTCTTAAGTTGAACGGTTTCGGGTTTAGGGTTTAANNGGGTTTAAGGTTTAGGGTTGAGTTTAAGTAGGTTGGCTTAAGGGCCTTAGTTCTCAGGGCGGCACATGTAGCGCCTAGGGTATACCATCATTGTTTTGGTATCCCCTGCGTTTTGAGTCGTCTAAGTGTGTGCCCATGCTCGGTTTCTGGGTTCGTATGGCCATGATCCAATTTGTGCTCTCTCCTAGGTGTCCCATGACTCATATTATCCCGTATGAAGTGCGAAGAGATAGACCAGCTGTGGTAATGTCGTGCATCGTGACCACGAAAATCGCAGCAGTCGATGAGTGACCCGGTGCAAATTTCCTTCGCTGGAGACCGAATCCTCTATTTCTCCAGCGCAATGATCAGCAAAATCCCTGGGAATCGCAACAATATCATTGCCTGATTGATACAACTGCACATTACGATAGGAGATCCAAACCATAGGGGTTCCAATTTTGTCACATAAGATTTCCCAGATCCAGGGTGTGCCTTCAGTATATGGGGGTTTCCGAAAATANNCCCGGAAACCCTCTAAACCCTAAGCTTTCTTGCTTCTTTCGCGGCTTCACAGTGCCAAGCTCCTCGTAACCCCAAGCCCCAGACCTTGAACCTTACAAATCCGAAGCCAAATGGGGGTTTCCGAAAATAGGGCACCCTAATATAGTACACCCAAATAGTAGGATCCGTATTATAAGGACCCCCAAAATAAGGTACCCCTAAGTTTCGGAACCTCCCATATAACCTACGCCCCAGACTCCCTAGTCCCGGAAGAAGGAGAACTAGAACAACCCCTGCAGTAAGCCATAAATCCGATTTATGTCAGCCCATGAAGGTCCAAGGTTTCCTACAGAGACCTGTGGACCCTAAGCCCTAAATCGTGAACCCTAAACCCTAAACCCTGAACCCTGAACCCTGAACCCTGAACCCTAAACCCTGAACCCCGAACCCCGAACCCTAAACCCTAGAGCCCTCCTAGGAGAGGCTTGTCAATTCTTCGGCACGTTTTCACCCCAGCATGAGAATCCGACGATCCCCTTAAAGGTTTAGGGAATCTTAAGGGTTTAGGGTTTCGACTCTCAGACTCGCACAAGGCCGCCAAGGGTTTAGGGTTTAAACCCTAAACCCTCCACCCTGGAGGCGGCATATCCTAAAACCTTGACGTGCTGAACGTTCAAGCCTTACGCTTCGACTGAAGCCCATACTGCACGCCCTACTCCGACAGGAAAAGCCCTAAAGCCCCAAACCTGAAGGCCAGTTGTTCAATCCAACATCGGTGCTTGTGAAGGCTAAACCCTAAACCCTAAACCCTAAACCCCAGTGAAGGCAGGATGCTCATCGAGGAAGCCACTTCCTGCCACCGCATGCGCGAGGACTACGCCAAAGACAGGGATCTCAAAAACTGCGTTCGGGTAGAAAGTATGGTTTAGGGTTTAGGGTTTAGGGTTGAGGGGCCAAATGCAGGGATCTTAAAAACTGCGTTCGGGTAGAAAGTATTGTGTTGTAAGGAGCTCTATGGGTTTGTAGTATAAATCAATCCGGCTCTTCTGTCACCTCCATGATAGATACAAGCTGCCACAAGCTCAAACCTTCTGCTGCTGCAGTGGGGGGTTCCAAGAGCATGGAGCTCGAAAGTTCTGTGGCTTGCAGCCGACAGCCGTCGGGAAATCACATAAGCGCTGTCTGAAAGCTGAGGACTCAAACTTGCAATACATATGGGTAGTTGTCAAAATTATGGCCCTTTTGGGATACCCTAAATAATAGGTGCCGTATTCTAATAAGGACCCAAAAAGGGACCCTAATTTTGACAACCACCCAGACCGAGAAAGCTGCAGGTCAAGTCTCTCTCACACACACACAAGCCCTCCCAGAACCCTGGGTGGAGTGTAATGAAAACATGAGGATGGCCCATGCTTTCAGCCACATGGGGCTCATCCTAAAGAACCAGCATCCCTGAACTCCAACCCTGAAGCTGAACCGTGATCACTATCTCAAGACGCAATCGAGGCTCCTGAGATGGGCATGAAGCACGCCAGCCAGTGGCACAGCATGCAGCAGCTCACCTAAGGTTTCAAGGAAGTCCCAAAAGCTCAAGGTACCCATGTAGTGGGGCCTTCGGCGCCCCAGTTACCGAACTTGTGGGGGCGGCCTGGGTCTCTGAAAGGAGGAGGCTAGTTTAAGTTTCAAAACAATCCTCTATGACCGAAGACTTGAACCCCTAGCTGTCCCAGCTGAAGTGAAACTCTCTCTCGCACTCTCTCTCTCTGCCGGAACGATTTGACGACTAGGGTTCGTGCGCGCTCTGTATTTCTACATGTCGTTGTAGCTCTTCTGCTGTCATCTTGGCCGTGTTTTTGAGTGGAATCCCTAGGATTGTGTTCTAGCGTCATATATAACGAGGTAACCATGAAGGTGCCTTTACTTCGACAAGGCTCGCTATGCTACTGCGACCTGCGGTACAAAGCATGTTCTTTCCAGTTCAATTTCGAAGACCGTCTCTTCTCACCACGTACGACGTCGAGTGTCGAAGGCCAACTGCAGGTTTACAGCGCCCAACCACTCCGGACTTTCAACCTTAAACACGCTGTTCTTGGTAGAAGACCCAAAATCTCATGCTCTCAGCCTCAATCCCTCGAATCCTAACCTCCCATACGCCCTTTGCTAATTGCGAAATCCGATCCCTTGTCACTGCTCACTGCTCAGTGGCCAGGATTCGACATGCCTCGAATATTCGCCGACCATTGCTCGAATGCCTTGGCAAAAGCGGTTGACAAACCGAAACCCCAATCTGCATAATATGCTCTCGAACCGGGACTTTGGGGTTCTCGAATTTTAGAACTTAGAGACATTGAGGTGGGCCTAAACCGTATATCCTGAATCCCAAAGCCCCCCACCCCAAACCCTCAACCACAGTCGTTCTAGTTTTGGTACAGAACCGAAAGCTCATCCCCGTTAAAAGCAAGGGAATTGGGCATACGACGGGGTGGTGGGTGATGGGGCGGGCGGGCGGGGGAGAGGGCGACGCGCGAATACTGACACGTATAGAGCTGGAGTTGGTTTCGGTTCTAGCACACGGAGGCTTTGTTTCCGCAGCTGAGGGTGTTCTTCTGCAGGCATCCTGCTGCTTAGGGTCAACATGAGGGTTGCTGTCGCCAGTTGGTTTTCGTGCTCTTTTGCCTCTGACCCTTTTTGAAGAAACCTGAAACCACAAACACTCTTACAAAGTAAACTGCCTTGCTCCCCCCCCAATGCAGTTACATGAACCTCCAAAACGCAACGCAACAAGTTTTATGCAGTGCATCGGAAAGACCTTGCAAGCTGCAAGCCTCCAATCCTCAGCTCCCTCAACCGAAGAATCCCCACGTCCGCCAACCCCTACATAATGATGCTAATGGTTTTTTGTTTCAAACTTTTGGATTTACATTCCTCGGCTCTGAATCTCCGGACCCTTGCCGAACCTGGAAATCGGAGGACCATGCCCCTAAACCCCAAACCCCAAACCGTGGCTCCAAACCCTAAACTCTAAACCCCTAAACCCCATGGAAGGGCTGAGGTGTCCTTTTCTTTAAGGACCTTACACTACCACAGTCAGGGTTTTAGGGTTTATAGGGCTTTTGGACGTACATGGTTTAAGTTTTAGGGCTTAGGATCATAGATCCTGAGGCTAACCCTAGCACGGACCCTCAACTCGAGTCCGAATCTCTTCAGTCATAATTCCAAAATCCTAAACAATCCTAGATCCTAAGGTCCTGAGCCCTAAAACCCTAGACCCTCAAAACCGAGAGGAGTGGCGTGACAAAGTCCTCCACCCGGCTCCCAAGCTCGGATGCTCGGAAGATCTTGATGAGCTTTATGGCTCGGATCACTTTCCTGAGGGCTACTTGTTGGATGTTTAGGACCCTTTTTTGAACGAGGTCTCTCTGAAGTGCCTCTAACAGTATGATTTCATCGATCTCTCTAGCTTAGGACCCTAAACCCTAAACCCGAAACCCTTTTTTTTGGAACCCAGGCTCTGATCATCAGCTGTGAAACCCTAAACCCTAAACCCTTCGAGTTTCAGGGTTTGGGGTTTGAGGGCTCGGCTCACCTTCCTGAGGCTTTTAAAAGGTCGAGGGTTTTAGGATTTAAGGCCCAAGGCCTCGCGAAAGGAGAGGCACTTTCCTGGTTTGGGGGCCTGGGAGTTTCGGTATAGGGTTTGTTTAAAGTAGAGGCCAGAAAGTTGGAACATCATTCTCCGGGTATCCCGAAGGTAAAATAGAAGGGATCCTAGCACTAAAAATCTAAATCCATGTTCCAACTTGCTGGGGTTCGCTGTAAACCCTAAACCCCGCAGTACCATTCTGCACTGTTCATTCTGGGGTCTGCTTCTTAAACCTGAGGAAAAGGGTACCTTCATTTTAAAGGGGTTACTGGGAACTTCGGGTCTTGATAACGGAAATCCAGACCCTCCCCCTAGATCCTAAACCCTAAACCCTAAGGCTCCAAGGACTCATAAAGACCACACTTTATAAGGCTTTTGGGGGCGATTTTGAGCCTTGGGCTTCTGGAACACCGAGAATCCTCAAACGAACCCCTGCGCAACCCTTATCGGAGCGGTACTAGGAATCCCTATGTGCACTGGGCAATGGATGAGATGGCTGCACTCCAAGACAAGCTGCACGGAAAGAGCGACGAGTTCCGGGCCCTGGTAAGAGAGCTGGAAGACAACGACCACGTGATGCAGCTCTACAAACAGAAGAAGCAAGATGAGCTCGAGGCGAAAACCGCCGAGGTGCGTTGCCTCGCCGACGAAACCTGGGCTCCGAGCACGAGGCCTACAAAGCCATTTTCTTCGAACCCTTACTTAGAGGGTCATGGGACTTAGGCTTATAATGAAGGTAACTATACCGATAATTACTTATAACCCCAACACCCCTAAACCCTCAACCCTCAACCCCAAACCCTAAACCCTCAACCCTAAACCCTCAACCCTAAACCCTCAACCCTAAACCCTCCACCCGAAACCCTAAACCCTCCACCCTAAACCCTAAACCCTAAACCCTAAACCCTAAACCCTAAACCCTAAACACTCAACCCTAAACCCTCAACCCTAAACCCTCAACCCCTAAACCCTAAACCCTCAAACCTAAAACCCAACCCTCAACCCTAAACCCTAAACTCTTCCTTGCGCAGGTTTGCCATGGTGAAGAAGGATG